TTAACCATCCTTACAAAAATCCCTGGAAAAAATACCACTCGATCGAGTGTGTGATATATTTAATGTCCTGCTAGTTCTGTTCACTAGGATTTCATCGAGGATCTCTGCATCTATCTCATCAGGGATATTTATCTGAGATTTTATTTTTTGGTGATGTCTCTATCAACTTTTGACATCAATGTGATGTTGATATCTAGAAACTTTTGGGGAAGATTCCCATTCCTCCCACTTCCTGGAAGAACTTAAGAAGGGTGTGTGGTCAGGTTGTCTTTAAAGATTTGAAAAACTTCAGTAGTGAACTCAAGTAGTCTTGAGCTCTGGTTCTTGGGGAAATTTTTGATGAATACCTCAAGTTCCCTAGTAGTAATGGGTATATTACCTGCTGACTTAGTAATGGGAGGTTGTAGGACTCTGGAAAATTACCCATTTTTTCCAGATCATGAAATTTTGTGAATTTTGTGACTTACTCTCACCTGATCATTTGTTTTTCTGAGATGTCTGTTATAATTTCTTCTCTTTCATTACTGGTCTGGTTGATCAGGGGTTTATCTCATTTATCTTTCTGATACAGGCTGGGATTTATTGAACACTCCCTCTTGGAGAAGAATACGATGTGGAGCAAGGAAAGCCTCTCAGGACATGAGCCAGGAAAACCGGTCTGTTATATGTTAAAAACAACAACCCAGATCCCTATTTCATACGATGCACAAGAGTCAATTCCAAATGGGTAAAGATCTCAATATGAGACTCAATACGTGAATGATGTTGAGGAAAACATAGTAGGAACCCTTCCTGACATCAAATCCGGAGGATTCTTCAATGACTCAATACTATTGTCCAAGCATGTGGAAGCAAAGATAAACAAGTGGGATGACATCAAATTCTCAGAAGCTTAAGCAAACAAAAGAAATATTGGCCAGACTAAAACGACCCCACAGACTGGGGGAATATATTTCTCACCCCTTACATGAGAAAGGGTTAATATTTAAGATATATAAAGTACTTAACAGTAAAAAACAATCAGCTCCAAAAGAAAAAAAAAAGAGAACAAATGAGCAGATGCTTCCTTAAAGAAGGCATGCAGACGGCCATGGGTAGATGGAAAATTCCTCTCCATTTCTTATCATCATAGAAGTGCAAATCAAAGCCGTGAAATATCACCTTAAACCAGTGATACTGACAAACACAGGAAAGAACAACAACAACCAGTATTGGCTTTGATGTGGGGAGAAAGAAACCTTCCATGACCCGTGGAACTGTTGTCTGGTTCAGCCTCTGGAAACAATACTAATACTTGTCAAAAAGACTGAGACCCAAACTTCTATATACCCCAGAAGTGCACCTCTTGGCATCTACTCCGAGAGGGCCTATCAGCTCTATCCCCAGGAGACATTCGCATTCATGTGTTTATTGTAACACTACTTAGCAATAGCCCAGATCTGGGAACAACTCAAATGTGCAAGGACAGATTACTGGATAAAGGAACTCTACATACAGTGGAATACTACCAGGCTGTGTAAGAGACAAAGTCATGTCATTTTCCACTAAGTGGATCTGGAGAGTATCATGGGGTATACACATAATCAGGAAAAAGGGGCCAGTCACAGAATGATCTCTGTCTCTGTCTCTGTCTCTGTCTGTCTGTCTCTCTCTCTCTCTCTCTCGGGTCATACAGAAACACTAAGGGAATAACAATGGCCTGAGAGCTGTTCTACAGAGTGACAGCCCATGGCAGGGGAGAGCCTAAGCCTTGGTGGCAGGTGTGGTTTTGGAGCACTGTGTTGTGAGCAGGGCTGTCTGGCAGGTCCTGTTACACTGCTGGCAGCATGGCCCCCACCCCTACTGGCCTAATGCTCTGTCCCCTGGGCTGAGTTGTGGTCTGGGACTCCTGACAGGGGAAGAGGCCGCATGCTGCAAGAAACCATTTCGAGGCCCCCGTGAGGCCTTCTGTGCAGATGGGCTTCTGTCGTGCAAGTGTTTGTCCTCCTCCGACTGGGTAAGTCAGACCAGTTTTCAAACTCTAGCTCAGTTGCCTAATTCTTTCTCGTGTTCAGTGTGACAACCATTATCTCTGGCTCTATCCTAGTCACAAGCTTAGCCCCTCCCCCGAGGTGGACACACTTCCTTCATGGGAGACGCATGTCTCAAGGACCCCTTTCCTGGTGTGAGACCCCTTTCCCCAGGGGTGTTTCCTGTGAACTCTTACTGGAGACCCTTACCTAATGCGGGGCCCTTAGGTGAGGTGGGGGCTATTATTTGGGGTGGAAAACTTTTTTAAAAAATTTTTTTATTTTTGGGGCTGGAGCGATCGCACAGTGGGTAGGGCGTTTGCCTTACACGCAGCCAACATGACTGACCCGGGTTCAATTCCCAGCATCCCAGATGGTCCCCCGAGCACCACCAGGAGTAATTCCTGAGTGCATGAGCCAGGAGTAATCCCTGAGCATCGCTGGGTGTGACCCAAAAAACAAAAAAAAAAATTTTATTTTTGATTTTTTTGCTTTTTGGGTCACACCCGGCGATGCTCAGAGGTTACTCCTGGCTCATCACTCAGGAATTACTCCTGGCATTGCTCGGGGACCATAAGGATGCTGGGAATTGAACCTGGATCAGTCACGTGCAAGGCAAATGCCCTCCCTGCTATGCGATGGCTCCAGCCCCCAGGGGGTGGGAAACTTTAATAAATTAGCCCCTGATCCAAGGCGGGGACTCCTGCATCTGAAGTGAGACCCCCTGATCCTTGGCCGCTGGCTGGAGGGAGGCGCGCACAGACTCCTCAGGAAGGCAGAGGTTGGGGAGGCGAGAGAGTTTATTTCAGGCTGTGTTGGGGGACAGGGGACAGCTGCCCGTGGGGACGTCCCGGGCACCGCGCATTGTCGCCAGGGCTGCAAGGGCCTGTCTGGGTGGTGTGTGCAGGACACTGCCTTCTGCGCTCGCGGTGTGGCTCCGGGTCACTTCACCTGCAGGGACACACAGGGACGCGTCATGGGGGTGCGGGTGGGGGCGCGGGTGGGTGCGGGTGGGGCAGGGGCTCCTGGGACCTACCTTGAACAGGGTGACCGTGGTGCTGTAGAAGAGGCTCAGCAGGAAGAGGACGATGAAGGTGGAAGCCATGGCGGACAGGTTCTCGAAGCCCTCCTCCTCGGCACTCACCTCCCCCTCTGCAGAACACACATGCGGGTCAGGGGGTGGGCGGGCAGGTGGGGGTGGAAGGCGCAAATGCTGGGGTCAGGACACACTTTGGGGCCACCGATGGCCACTAGTGATGTGCGGGGCTGAGGCTCTGGGGCTGCTGCTCTGGGCACTCGTGTGGCCCGATCCCTCCCCCGCCACTCTGAGGGCCCAGGGTTGGGGGTGGGGGGGTGAGAGCACAGCAGGGAGACGAGGCCGGGGACCCTGTGTCTGCCCGCCTGCCCTCGGTGGTCCCGTGCGGGTGGTCCTGTGCTTCGCTCCTGGCACGCCCTGGACTGCTGCCCTGACCGGCACAGCTGGACATGCCCTGCGTGGCCCTGCAGGCCAGGGTTAGTAGCCTTCGGATGCAGCCCCCAGCTGAGAGACAGGACAAGCAGAGCTTTGGGCAGGACGCCTGCGGCCAGGGCAGTGCAGGAGAGACTGCTGTGGGGAGCGGGCAACTCCAAGGGCCAGCGACTGGCCACGCGTGTGTGTCTGTGTTCTCGTGCTTCTGTGTGTGGCACCGCTGTGTGCATCAACCACGTCCTTGTGTCAGCCCAGGTCCATGTGTCAACCAAGTCCATGTGTGCAAGCCAGTCCTTGTCCACGCGTGTATATCAACCCATATCCGTGTGTGTGAGCCCATGCCCATGTGTGTATCAGCTTTGTCATGTGTGTGCCAGCCTGTGTCCATGTGTGTCTATCAGCCTGTGTCTATGTGTGTATCAGCCTGAGTCCATGTATTTGTGTCAGCTTGTGTCCATTTGTGTCCATCAGCCTGTGTCCATGCATGTCCACCAGTCCGTGTCCATGTGTGTTGGCTGTGTCCATCAGCCTGTGTCCATGTGTGCGTGTTGGTTGGCTGTGTCCAGGCATGTGTCAACCATATCCATATGTGCCCACAATCCCATGTCCACGTATGTGTGTCAGCCATGTCCATGTGTGAATATCAGGCTGTATCCATGTGTGTATGTCAGCCCATGTCAGTCAGCCCATGTTCATGTGTATCAGTCCGTGTTCATGTCAGTGCATGTTCATGTGTGTCTGCCCATGTCCATGTGTATGTCTGTGTTCATGTGCTCGGTGTTCATGTGTGGGCTTCACATGTGTGACTGTATGCTTGGCTGAGTGTGCGTCTGTGTCTGTATGAGTTCATGAATTCATGTATCTGTACATGAGTATGTTTATATAGTGTCCACCCATGTGAATTGCATGTCCATGCATGTGCACGCAGGAGTGGATCTGTATGTGTTCCCATGTGAGTTGTGTGTCCCCTGTGTTCAGTGTGAATGGCATATGCCTATGTTCACACACGTAACTTGTATATGAATTAGTGAGCATGCCCATATTCACACTAGCTGCACGCACACATGTATGTGAGGGCATGTGCCTGTGAGTTCATCTATGTCCACGTGAGCTGTGTGTGTATGTGTGTGCGCGCATGGATGTGTCTATGTCCACATCACACATTTGTTGCATATACATCCACAAGTATGTCTGTATGTCTCTATGTGCAGTTGAGTAAGCAGTGTGTGTGTGCGGGTGGGTGTCTGTGTACGCGTGCACATGTGTGTGGTTGTGCATGTCTGTGCATGTATGTGCCCAGGAGGCAGTGAGAGCTCGAGCGGCTGGGCCCGTGGGCTGCAAGCACCCTGCAAGCAGCTCGGGGTGCGAGAGAGGCCAGAAGCGCGGCCCCTCGGGGCGGGCAGGGTCAGCACAGGCACGAGCACGCAGGACCAGCGTCTTTTCAATGGATCTTTTTATTTCTAACTCCGTGAACGGCAACCTCTGCTGCTGAGCTCAGAGGGCACGCACGCACGCACACACGGTCAGTAGCAGGTGCTGGCAGTGTCGGACAGGACCAGGGACACATTGTACAGGGTGGGTTTACCGGTGGCCTTGTCCACGGTCTTCTCGGTCACCGAGAGGGGCAGGGCCTCGTGGCCCACCACGCAGGTGTAGGACTCCCCGCTGCTCCAGTCCTTCTCGCTCACGGTCAGGACGCTGTGGACGAAGTAGAGGTCCGCGCGCTGGGGCTCAGGCTGGGGGCTGCTGGTCACGTAGTCTTCGGGGTCCACCGGCTGGCCCTGGTGCTGCCACTGCACGAAGACGTCGGGGGGTGCGAAGTTCTTCACCAGGCAGGTGACTGACACCGTCTCCCGCAGCTTGACCTCCTCCTGGGCGGGCGGCAGCACGTACACGGAGGGCCGGTTCGTGAAGACATCTGCGGAAGGAAGGTTGGTGTCGGGGGGCTTGGGTGGGGCAGCGGGTGGGGGTGGGTGTGAGGGGGGCGGGTGGGCTCACGCACTCTGGGGCCGGGAGATGGTCTGCTTCAGCGTCGAGGGCAGGTCTGGGTGCTTCACGGTGCATGTGAACTTCTCGCCCGACACCCAGTCCTCCTGGCACACGCTGGCCCGGCCCGTGGCGCTGAAGGTGTTGTTGGGGTGGCTCTCAGAGATCAACTGCTGCGTTTCCAGCTTGCCTTTCTTCTCGCTGATCCACTGGATGTCCAGGCCGATGTAGGAGGCCAGGCCCGTGACCAGGCAGGTCAACTGGGCCGAGCGGTTGAGGAAGATGCTGACGAAGCTCGGGGGCAGGGCGAAGACCTGGATGCCGGCGGAGGAGTCTGGGGGCAGGAGAGATGGGTTGAGCGGCGTCGGGAGGCGGGCGGGCGGGTCCCCCCCACTCCGGGCCGGGCTCTGTGTGGGGGCTCACCAGGGAAGCTGCACAAGGACGACGTGTTCTTCTGGTAGGTCAGGCCCTTGTGCACCGCCTGGCAGGTGAACACCTTCTGCTCAAGCCACTCCATCTCGGTGACGGTCAGCCGACTGATGACCCTGAAGGTGGCGGGCCCCGTGCCCTGCGGCTCAGCCTCCACCTCGCTGGTTGAGACGAGCTTGGGTGACACGGGGTGGCCGTCCTTCAGCCAGGACATGGCGATGTTCTTGGGGCTGAAGCCCGACGCCTGGCAGATGATCTGGGATTTGCGGGGGTTGTTGCCGGAGAAGGAGTCGCGGGGCGGGACGAAGACACTCACGTTGGGGGGCAGCTCCATGATGCCTGGAGTGAGGACACGGCATTAGTCGGGCCTGCTTTGGGGCCCGCCCTGCCTGCCTGCTCCTGCCCTCCGGCTTACCTGGTATGGGCACATGCACCTTCTGGTTGCCAGTCTTGTGCTTGGTGTTGCACACCAGGTAGTCGTCGGTGGACTGCAGGGTGTTCAAGGACAGCAGTTGCACCCGGGAGGTGGCCAGGTACTTGCCAGCTCGCAGGACCTCGGGGAAGTTGTAGGCATCCTTGATGTCGCTGTTGTTCTTGAAGTTCCAGGAGAAGGTGACTTTCTGGGGCAGGTAGTCGAGGGCCAGGCAGCCCAGGGTCACCTGCGTCTCGTCCAGCAGAGACGAGTCACAGGAGACGAGGGGGAAGAGTGACGGAGACGACTCGGCCTCTGGAGAGCCGTGAGGAGAGAAAGGAGGAGACTCCGGTGAGGACGGGAGGGAGCCTGGCACCACCTAGCACCAGAGGCAGCCCCATGGGTGGCCCCCCGTATAGCGGCACCGCATGACCACATTGCAGGCCCCAGCATCCCACACCCCTTAGGTGGGTTGCACCGGCTGGGCCCCGGCCCCCCGCTGCCTGCAGGTAGTGATGGAGCAATGAGGAAAGGGTTTTGGCTCCCCGAACAGGGGCGGTGAGGGCTGGAGAGTAGCCCGTGCAGAGCAGAGAGTATCACAAAGAAATGAGACAATGAGTTTCCTTCCGGCAGAGCCTGCTATAGTCACAGCCAGCCGCAGGGGTGGAGCGAGCTGGCCGAGTGGACAGGCCTCTGGGAGCACTGCCCTCCGAGTCACCTCTAAGGCCCAACAGGCACTCTGCGCTAAGGCTCCTTGCAGATTGTCTTGCAGAATCAGCTCCCAAAGTCTCGGAGAGACTCTGCCTATGAGACTCCGGCCCGTGGACCCACGGAGACCTCCCACAGGCAGTGGGTCCTGCGGAGCAGGGACTTCCAGCCCGGGAGCCGTGTTGAGCTCGGAGAGCCCAGGCTTGCTGCCTCAGACTGACGGCCCTTCCGGCTCATCCCAGCCTGTTGCACACAGATGAGTTGAGTTTGGTCAGCCCAGTCCAGCTCTGGGGCTCAGTTGGCCCATCCCAACCAGTCTAGCACACCCAATTTAGCGCCTCAGCACCACGAGTTAATTCATACAGACCAGATCAGCCCACTGCCCTTAGCTCAGCCCAGCTCAACTCAGCCCAGTTCAGCTCAGTCCAGCTCAACTAGCCTAGCTTGGCCCAGCTCAGCTCAGCTCACTCAGCCCAGCCCAGCTCAGCTCAGTTCACCCAGCCCAGCTCAGCTCAGTTCACCCAGCCCAGCTCAGCTCAGCTCAGCCCAGCTCCGCTCAGCCCAGCTCAGCTCAGCTAACCCAGCCCGGCCCAGCTCAGCTCAGTTCACCCAGCCCAGCTCAGCTCAGCTCACCCAGCCCAGCCCAGCTCAGCTGAGTCCAGCTCAGCTCAGCTCAGCTCAGCTCACCCAGATCAGCCCAGCTCAGCTCAGTCCAGCTCAGCTCAGCTCAGCTCACCCAGCCCAGCTCAGCTCACCCAGCCCAGCCCAGCTCAACTCAGTTCAGCTCACCCAGCCCAGCCCAGCTCAGTTCAGTTCACCCAGCCCAGCTCAGCTCAGCTCAGCTCAGCTCAGCCCAAATCAGTCCAGCTCAGCTCAGCTTAGCCCAGCTCACCTAGCCCAGCTCAGCTCAGCCCCGCTCAGCTCACCGAGCTCAGTCTAGCTCAGCTCAGTTCACCCATCCCAGCTCCGATCAGCTCAGCTCAGCTCAGCTCACCCAGCCCAGCTCAGCTCAGTCCAGCTCACCTAACCCAGCTCAGCTCAGCTCAACTCACCCAGCTCACCTAGCCCAGCTCAGCCCAGCTCAGCTAGTTCACCCATCCCAGCTCCGCTCAGCACAGCCAAGCTCAGCTCATCCAGCCTAGCTCAGCTCAGCTCAGCTCAGCTCACCCAGACCAGCTCAGCTCAGTCCAGCTCCACTCAGCTCAGCCCAGCTCACCCAGCCTAGCTCAGCTCAGCCCACCCAGCCTAGCTCAGCCCAGCTCAGCCCAGCTCAGCTCAGCCCAGCTCAGCTCAGCTCTCCCAGCCCAGCTCAGCTCAGCTCTCCCAGCCCAGCTCAGCTCACCAAGCCCAGCTCAGCTCAGCCCAACTCAGCTCACCCAGCCCAGCTCAGTTCAGCCCAGTTCAGCTCACCCAGCCCAGCTCAGCTCAGCCCAGTTCAGCTCACCCAGCCCAGCTCAGCTCAGCTCAGCTCACCCAGCCCAGCTCAGCTCAGCTCACCCAGCCCAGCTTAGCCCAGTTCAGCTCACCCAGCCCAGCTCAGCCCACCTCAGCTCACTCAGCCCAGCTCCGCTCAGCCCAGCTCAGCTCACCCAGCCCAGCTCAGCTCACCCAGCTCACCCAGCCCAGCTCAGCTCAGTTAAGCTCACCCAGCCCAGCTCAACCAGGCTCAGCTCACCCAGCCTAGCTCAGCTCAGCCCAGCTCAGCTCAGCCCAGTTCACCTAGCCCAGCTCAGCTCACCCAGCCTAGCTCAGCTCAGCCCAGCTCAGCTCAGCCCAGCTCACCTAGCCCAGCTCAGCTCACCCAGCCTAGCTCAGCTCAGCTCAGCCCAGCTCAGCTCAGCTCACCCAGCCCAGCTCAGCTCAGCCCAGCTCACCTAACCCAGCTCAGCTCAGCTCAACTCACCCAGCTCACCTAGCCCAGCTCAGCCCAGCTCAGCTAGTTCACCCATCCCAGCTCCGCTCAGCACAGCCAAGCTCAGCTCATCCAGCCTAGCTCAGCTCAGCTCAGCTCAGTTCACCCAGCCTAGCTCAGTTCAGCCCAGCTCAGCTCTCCCAGCCCAGCTCAGCTCAGCTCTCCCAGCCCAGCTCAGCTCACCAAGCCCAGCTCAGCTCAGCCCAGCTCAGCTCACCCAGCCTAGCCCAGCTCAGCTCAGCCCAGTTCAGCTCAACCAGCCCAGCTCAGCTCAGCTCAGCTCAGCTCACCCAGCCCAGCTTAGCTCAGTTCAGCTCACCCAGCCCAGCTCAGCCAGGCTCAGCTCACCCAGCCTAGCTCAGCTCAGCCCAGCTCAGCTCAGCCCAGTTCACCTAGCCCAGCTCAGCTCACCCAGCCTAGCTCAGCTCAGCCCAGCTCAGCTCAGCCCAGCTCACCTAGCCCAGCTCAGCTCACCCAGCCTAGCTCAGCTCAGCTCACCCAGCCCAGCTCAGCTCAGCTCAGCTCACCCAGCCCAGCTCAGCTCAGTCCAGCTCACCTAGCCCAGCTCAGCTCACCCAGCCCAGCTCAGCTCAGCCCAGCTCACCTAGCCCAGCTCAGCTCAGCCTAGCTCAGCTCACCCAGCCCAGCTCACCTCAGCCCAGCTCAGTTCAGCCCAGCTCCGCTCAGCCCAGCTCAGCTCAGCTCACCCAGCCCAGCTCAGCTCAGCTCACCCAGCCCAGCTCAGCTCACCCAGCTCAGCTCAGCTCAGCCCAGCTCAGCTCAGCCCAGCTCAGCTCAGCTCACCCAGCCCAGCTCAGCTCAGCCCAGCTCAGCTCAGCTCACCCAGCTCAGCTCAGCTCACCCAGCCCAGCTCAGCTCAGCTCACCCAGCCCAGCTCAGCTCAACCCAGCTCAGCTCACCCAGCCCAGCTCAGCTCAGCTCACCCAGCCCAGCTCAGCTCACCCAGCTCAGCTCAGCTCAGCCCAGCTCAGCTCAGCCCAGCTCAGCTCAGCTCACCCAGCCCAGCTCAGCTCAGCCCAGCTCAGCTCAGCTCACCCAGCTCAGCTCAGCTCACCCAGCCCAGCTCAGCTCAGCTCACCCAGCCCAGCTCAGCTCAGCCCAGCTCAGCTCACCCAGCCCAGCTCAGCTCAGCCCAGCTCACCTAGCCCAGCTCAGCTCAGCTCAGTTCAGCTCACCCAGCCCAGCTCAGCTCACCCAGCCCAGCTCAGCTCAGCTCAGCTCAGCTCACCCAGCCCAGCTCAGCTCAGCTCACCTAGCCCAGCTCAGCTCAGCTCAGCTCAGCTCAGCTCAGCTCAGCTCAGCCCAGCTCAGCTCAGCTCACCCAGCCCAGCTCAGCTCAGCCCAGCTCAGCTCAGCCCAGCTCAGCTCAGTCCAGCTCACCTAGCCCAGCTCAGCTCACCCAGCCCAGCTCAGCTCAGCCCAGCTCACCTAGCCCAGCTCAGCTCAGCCTAGCTCAGCTCACCCAGCCCAGCTCACCTCAGCCCAGCTCAGTTCAGCCCAGCTCCGCTCAGCCCAGCTCAGCTCAGCTCACCCAGCCCAGCTCAGCTCAGCTCACCCAGCCCAGCTCAGCTCACCCAGCCCAGCTCAGCTCAGCCCAGCTCAGCTCAGCCCAGCTCAGCTCAGCTCACCCAGCCCAGCTCAGCTCAGCCCAGCTCAGCTCAGCTCACCCAGCTCAGCTCAGCTCACCCAGCCCAGCTCAGCTCAGCTCACCCAGCCCAGCTCAGCTCAGCCCAGCTCAGCTCACCCAGCCCAGCTCAGCTCAGCCCAGCTCACCTAGCCCAGCTCAGCTCAGCTCAGTTCAGCTCACCCAGCCCAGCTCAGCTCACCCAGCCCAGCTCAGCTCAGCTCAGCTCACCCAGCCCAGCTCAGCTCAGCTCAGCCCAGCTCAGCTCACCTAGCCCAGCTCAGCTCAGCTCACCTAGCCCAGCTCAGCTCAGCTCAGCTCAGCTCACCCAGCCCAGCTCAGCTCACCCAGCTCAGCTCAGCTCAGCCCAGCTCAGCTCACCTAGCCCAGCTCAGCTCAGCTCACCCAGCCCAACCCAGCTCAACTCAGTTCACCCAGCCCAAGTCAGCTCAGCTCACCCAGCCCAGCCCAGCTCAGCTCAGTCCAGCTCAGCTCAGCTCAGCTCACCCAGCCCAGCTCAGCTCAGCCCAGCTCAGCTCAGCTCACCCAGCCCAGCTCAGCTCAGCTCACCCAGCCCAGCTCAGCTCACCCAGCTCAGCTCAGCTCAGCCCAGCTCCGCTCAGCCCAGCTCAGCTCAGCTCAGCCCAGCTCACCCAGCCCAGCTCAGAT